ATATATATATATATATATATATATATATATATATATATATATAATTAAATTTAAAAAGTAAAACCCAAATTAATGAGTAAAAAAAAATTTTCTATATTAGCATATCTGTTATTGAAATTTTCAAAAAAAAAAAAGAAAAAAAACAAATGAAAGCTTATAGAATAGCATAACATAGTATAGATTAGATTAGATTAGCTTAAATTACAAGCACTGAAATTGAATATATGAATTACTCTATTCAATACCACAAACTAACATTAATTAACTAAAATTTTAACTAATCATTGATTAATAATGATAATAACAATAATATGGTATATTTAAGTAAATATTATTATCTGCCTTTTTTCTCTCTCCTTCCCTCTCTCTCCCTCTCTCATTTTCCTTGTCTTATTTGGCTTTTTCATTTTTTTTTTTTAAATTTCATCTACTTTTTGTTGAAGTATTTTAAAGGATAGCAATATGTTAGTCATAAAATGATGACATCATCGTAATTTTATTAAATTATGCTAATTATTGTAATTAGCTGACAGGTAATAGATCACTGCAATATTAGTAATTAGGAAAATATTTATGAGTAAATCAGTTAGTGACGTGAAAGTTGCGTAGCGTAATTTAAATGAATTTAAAAATTGAAAAGATGAAATTGTTAGCAAATGCTTAATATTATTTGATTTATCCAAGTGTATATTTTAATTTCAATATTTTTTTTGTTAATCACTTAATTAGTTAATTAATTAATCAATCAATCAATCAATAATTTTCGCATTATTTGTATGGGAAAAGGCTGTGATAAACTATAGCAATACAGTAAAATTTGTAATGTGTGCACTATTTGCATAGCATATTGGGTACAAATTCATACAAATTAGCTTTGATAAAATAAAATAGATTGATTGTTAAGCAATTTTGGACAATAGCTAATTGTTTTAATGTTAATGTAATTGTAAAAATTATTTGTTTAGTAATAATTAGCCTAATTAATTATGTAATTTATTGTTCTTTTTTTTTTTTTTTTTTGTTTATTTTTTGATGAAAGATAATGGATGATAAATTTCAAATAATGATTATTCGCTCATTCATTCATTCATACACGTTGATGTTCCAAAGCAGCAGCTTGTTGTTGTGTAACAGCGGCTAATTGTGATTGTGCGGCTGTTAGCTGGGCTGCATAATTATTGGCTGGTATTAGGCCATATGGCATATATGCGTACTGTTCTAAGCCTACCGTACCTGCTGCTGATACTGAAATAAATTGATATAAATAATATTATCAAAGATTAATCAATGTAATTAGTTTTTAATAATTATTAATTTTTTCTTGGTGATGTTTAAAAAATAAATAAGTATAATTTGATAAAATTTAAATTAAAATGAAATATTTTTTATTTCAATAATAATATAATATAGAAATCATCCCATATAATACCTGAAAAAAAATTCCATAACTTACCTGTTGGATGAAGCGAGAATGGATTCTGAGCGGTGGCAGTAGTAGCACCACCTGCAGCTGCAACAGCTGCAAGTGTTGCATAGTCGATGTATTGTTGCTGAGTTTGTGAAGTATTTACTTGACCTGCACCAGCTAATGATGTCGTATTTTGCAAGCCATTTAGCGTATTCATCAATGGATTACTTGCAGCTGCAGCTGCAGCAGCTGCTGCTGTTGGATAAAGAAGTTGTGGAAGACTAAAAAAAAAGAAAAAATTTTCGCATAAAAAATTATATACGACTTCTTAAATAATTTAATAAATAAAATCGTTAGACTAAAATAAAATTGTTAGACTTAAATTTTCTTTAATAAAGATTGAAGTAAGTAAAATTAGTTAAGTAAATATGCATTTATATTGTTGTTATATTGTCAGTGAAAACTTCGTTTTTTTTTTTTGTTTTTTCCCCCAATATTTGTTAATTTAACAAATTTCATATTTACCTAATAATTTGCTTATTTTAATTATTATCGTTTTAATTTTTTTTTAAAAAAAAAGAAAAAAGGAAAGAATAAATTACACTTCCATTACTTTGTCACAGTAATTAATTAATCATGTCAAGTTAACTTTAATGAATCTAAATTTCATTTATTTTCAAACTTTTTCTAAACACCGCAAACCAACACAATGCAAAACAATCATACACATACACACACACACACATACATACACACACACACGTACATACACACACATACACACATACACACATACACAACACATATATATATATATATATATATACATACATATAAGTTCCTTGAAAAATTTGTTTAGGTTGAAGAGAAAATTTTTTTTTTAAAAAATAAAAAAGGGAAAAATTACCCGGCAATACGACCGGGAAATAAAGCCTGCAGTTGTGTTTGCAGCGGGATTTGCTGCAATCCGTTAGAAAGCGCTGAAAACAAACAAAAAAAATTTTTTTTTTCAATGAAATTTTATCAAAAATTTAATTAGATTATATGAAGAGAGAAAAAAAGATGATAGAGATAATAAAAGACATTTAAAAAAAATAAACAAAAAGAAAAAAAAACAAAAACAAAAACATGCAATAAATAAAACAAACACAACAAACACATTCACCGAAATTCCAAAATATTCTACTTTTTCAGGTTGGAAAAAGAAAAACTTTTCATTCTCATTCAGAAATTATAATTCAACTCTTAATCAGAATTAAAATGAAATATCTCTTGCAAATCAGTAATTGATGGAATAAAAAAAAAAAAAAGAATTAGCCAAGATATACAGAAGACCATATACATCCATCATTAGGTTATTTAGGTGCAAAAATTTTTAGTTTCCAAAATTTTGTAAGTGGTCAAAATTCAAAAATTGTTGAAATCATTATTAAAATTGAGTTAAGTTGATATTCTATCAATCAGAAAAAGATCATTTCTAATACCATCTTAGTATCGAGTCAAAATATTTAGATAATCAATAAAATACCAAATGTTTAACTTCTTGAATTAATCTGATAATATGTAATACTATTACAAATGTCCATCAGGAAAAAGGTCAATTCTAATGCCATCTTAGTATCGAGGTTAAAATATCAAATAACTCATAAAATATCGATTACTTAGCTTCTATCATATATTATTGTATTTATTTCACTTTTTTTTTTTCTCAACAATTTCCTAAATTATTAATATAATTGATCATAAAATACATTTTATTTCAAAAATGATTAACCTGCAAGTTGAATGTTACCACGTGGTTTAGCACCCAAATAAGCCAAATTAACATTTGCTTTACGTCCATCAATGATTGGATTAGGATCTTTACAAGCACGTTCAGCTGCAGCTCGATCTTTCATTGTTACCTGTAATTTTCAAATTAAATATTTCAGCAGAAAAAAAAAACAAAAACAAACAAAGTTTTATAACTGGACCAATTTATAAAATAGTACAAAATTAAATATCATAATAATTGTCAATTTAGTAATATTTAATTTGAATTTAATAATTTTCATCTTTTATTCTTTCCATTTTTTTTATTTTTGAAATTTTCATATAAAATGGAAATGTAAATAGATTGAAAATCAAAACTTACAAAACCATATCCACGACTTTTTTGAGTCTGTCGATCGGTAATAACTACAGCTTCTTCAATTTCACCAAACTGCTCAAAATATTCATGCAATGTTTTATCCGATGTATGATATGGTAAACCACCCACAAAAATTTTCGTAAATGTTGTATCACGTATGCCTGAAAAGAAAATACCTGATATACTTGAGAAAAAAAATGGTGACACAATTATGACTTATGTCATGGTAGAAAAGAAGGATGATAAAGTGATGTAATAAACTTATGATTGAAAAATTTAGTTAAGAAAATTTGAATACTTATAGAAAATTAAAATTACCGGTAACATTTTATTTTTTAAAAAAATTAACTACACCTGTTGTAGGAAGAGTATCAGTAGCACTAGCAGTAGCAGCAGCAGCAGCAGCAGATTGTGCTGCTAATGCAGCTGCAGCAGCTTGCACTAACGGATCAGCAATTGTTCCAGTACTTGCTAATTGTCCATAAATGGATGGTATCATTGTACGATGATAAATGATCGAACTGATAGTTCACGTGATAATTCTAAATAAACTTATCATACTTTCCTCTTATATATTTTGTTAATAAAATTAATTTTAATATTATTAAATATTTGTTAAATAAAATAAATTTTACAAAATAATTAGCATTCTTATTAATCATTTCTACGGATTGAATTGGTACAATTAGATTTTAATTCATTAAAAACAATCAATTTCCTAACTTCCAATTCATTTAATTAAATAAAAATGGGTAAATTGAACAAATTTTAGGCAACTTAAAATGGGTAATTTAATATGCAAAAAAAAGAAGAAAGAAATATACTTGCAAATAGAATTTACTAATATGAAGCAGGCGACAGGAAAAAAAAAGAGAAGCTAAGTTGTGAACGTTGTATAAGCACCTGAAATATTTTTTCATTCACAATTTGTATTCCTAAATTATGAAATGAAATGGAATTTTAATTTTTTTTCCAATTAACTTTAATTATTTCAAGAATTTTAACTGTTAAATTAAATGAAATAATTTTAAAAAATTATAAATTAGCCAATTACTTGGAAATTATCTAAATGTATAAATCCATTATGTTGAATGTAAAATTTGCAACTTTGCAATTATTACAAAAATATGTTATTGAACTAATTAATAAAATTAATCCATTAATCAGGTAAGAAAAGGGACAAATTAATTAATGCTAACTTACCTTTTAGCTAAAGAAATGAAAAAACAACACGGCACCGCAAGCGACACACAAACGACACAAAAAAGAATAGCACACGAAGAAGAAGACGAAATCACTCCTGAAAAATCATCTTTCATTCATTTAATTAATTTCATTAATACTTTTCTGGTACGACATTAATTAAAAAGAAAAGAAGAAGAAACAATGAAAAAAACTAGAGCATAAGTTAAGAAGGGAAGAAAGTTAGAAAAAAAAAACGTAAACATTTATAATGACAAATAGTAT